AAAGACTGATTGTGTTTGTGTCTGGTTTCGGTTAGACCAACGAAATCGACATTGAGATCTAAAAATGTATCGTTAACGAATTGATTTTTTAATTCACATTGGAGAGAGTTAACGTTGTTAGTAGCAAAAGAAATAGTGGGAGTGTCTTTTGAATTTGCATGTTCATTTTGTTTTGTAACAGGAGTGGGTGTATCATTATTATTATTGTTAAAATCGTTATTATAAATCATGATTGGAAGAGGTGAGTTTGGGTGAGAAGATTATTATTGGGGGATCCTGCTGGCAAGGTCAGCAATCTGAGCCATTGCGTCTTTGAGTTGTTTTTGTTGATCAGCGATGATTTGGTTTTGCTGATCCATGTAGGCTTGATTCTCGGGGTTCACAGCCTTCGGTCCAGAAGGGTTGTTTTCATCAGAGGATGAGGCTGCTATTCTGACGCGTTTAAGCTGTTGGGTAATTGATGATGAAGATTGAGAACGCGGGATTGGCGAAATAGTGGATTGGGGGGTGACAGGAGGGATCAAAGATACAGGTTTAAGTTTCTCGAGCTCGGTAATGCGAGACTCGAGATCATTAATTGATTTTTGCATGCCAGCAAGCATGCTTAAGATTTGATCAAGTTTTTTATTAGTTTCATCATTATTCTTGTTGCGAGGGTTATGGATTGAGTCGTCGATAGATTGATCTGTGCCTTTGCCTTTACCTTTGGGTGGAGGAGGAGGATTGGTGGTTTGGCGAACATTTCTGGGAGACTGGGTACTTTTGATAATTAATGAACGGGAACCAGCTGGCTTATAACGACTGTATAATTTCTGGACAGAAGGAAGCTTGGTTCGCAGTTTGTTAGTGTCAACAGGCTCATCTTTCAGAGCTGCTTTGTGTTCCAAGATGATCGGACATTTCATCACGATGTGATCAGTAGCACCACATTTGTGACAACATTTTGAGTCAACAGCACACCATTGAAGTTTTCGATCACCAAAGGCATAATCGATTTTGATAGCATCGTTGAGTGTGGTTTCGTCTTCAAAGTAAAGGACAGCGAACGGTCTGGGCTTATAGTTATTAGAACGTGGAATATAAACCGATTTAGCTTTAACAGCCAAGGAGATTTCTTGGATGTCACGTGCAGTAGTTCCATAGGGAAGGTTGGTGAGTTTGATACGATGATCATTACGGAGTTTGATTTCATCTGCTGTGAGACACGCAGGGTAGACTCTGACACAATCATTGTAGATATATCTAGACCAAGAGGAATAGAAAAGTTTCACAGCATCTGCATTGTCATACGTAACAAAAGCAGATTGCCACAATCCACGAGTATGCATACGGATAGAAATAATATTGCCGTATTTGGAAAAAATTTGAGAGATATTTTCTTTTTTAAGGTTGAGATGCAGGTCAGTAATGCGCAATGTACGTTGTTGTGTCTGTGTAGCCTCCTTGTACGCTTCGTATTCAAGGAGTTGTTTGATACCTAAATCAGGAAAAGTGGTGTTCAATGCGGCTTGCATAGATTCTTTGTCGTCAAAATAGATCACAACTGATCTAACCATATTAATACGTTTGATGTTGAGGCCCCTGAAGGCGTCATTGTGTGCAAAGTGATTGTTGATCGCCTGAATAATTTTCGGGGTTGGGAGCTCTTTTGCAGATTTCCCAATAGTTGCAGCAACAGTATGGGAAGAGGGACGAGGAACCATGATGAAGTCTCTATTGTCAGTATCCATGACGTTATCGTCGTCATCGATAGGAACATATTCGTCTGCGTCAAGAATATTTAGAGGGGGGGTATTCTTGGAGCCGTAAGTTTCAGCTACAATATCTTCGTCTAGAGCAGAAAGCTCTTCAGTTGTTTCGGGGTTAGTGGAGGAGCCACTTGCCTCAGGTTGTTTAGCAGTGCGAGGGTCAAAACGATGAAGGTTCTTTGGTTTAGTAGAAACTACACGAGTGATTTTTTTTGGTCCCATTTTGTATCTAAAAAATAAAATAAAAAAACTCTTTCAAAGAAATAAAAGTATTTGTTAAATGTAAAAAATATAGCTAACTAACGGAGCTGTAAAAATTTTAATAAAATATGTGAACGAAAAGATTTTATTTTTCTCAAAAAATTTCTGAAATTTCAGAAATTTGGGGGAAAGGAGAAAGAGTTTTTTTTCACTCATGAAAATATGATCGAATATTTTGAACAGAATACAAATCATTCTGTATCGCTTGAAAATATTTCCAATTTTTT